TTACGGATGTATTGCTCCATAGTATTAGAAAAGACAGATATTTGACAATTTTACAATACTAAATTCCAATCCATCTTTCTTAAAACTAAATTCTTTAAAAAAAATGCCTGAAAGCAGAAGTCTCAGTAGTGTTACACAAGAGCAGGTTAACTAGGGGGACTGGATGGTTCAGCATCATCTGGCAAATGGCAGGACTGGAGGCAAAGGCTTTCCTGCAGAAGGCACACTGACCTGAGTTGAGATGGGAGATAAGTTCAGCAGGCTGGAAGTCATACATGTTCTAGACACACAAAAGGAACAAGAAGCAAAAAACGGTTTAAGTTCTGAGGAAAGTTTAAGAATCCCTTTGCAGCCAGAAGGCTAAGTAGAGGGTGGAATTAGCACAAAGAAGTCATAAGTCAGGAGGCTACATCAACAACACTTTTCTTTTTCACCTCAGCTGTGAGGTATTCAGTGACTCAGGTGCTTGCATTCATGGCTTAACACAGCTCCATGGATCAGAAAGACCATGAGCAGTACACGGTGTGGAGGAAGTTTACAGAATATTATTTTAAGATGTGTTGTATTTGTTTATGCTGTGGAACATTTGTTCAATGATGCAAAGATGTGTTGCATTCTTTTATGTTGCATTTGTTTAACTCTGTGAAGTTATGTTACTTGGCCTGTCTAAAATAACTGATGGTCTAATAAGGAACTGAACGGCCAATTAGCAAGTCAGGAGAAAGGATAGGCAGGGTTGGCAGGAAGAGAGAATAAATAAAAGAAGAAAGCTATGAGGAAAAGAAGAAAGAGCAAGAGATCAAGGAGCAAGAAAAGAAGGGGCCAGCCACCTAGCCACACAGCTAGCCACATAGTAAGAGTGAAAGCAAGAAATACAGAAGCAAGAAAAAGGTAAAAGTCCAGAGGCAAAAGGTAGACAAGATAACTTAAGAAAAGCTGGCTAGAAACAAGCCAAGCTAAGACCAGGCATTTATAATAAAGAATATACCTCCATGTGTGATCTATTTGGAAGCTGGGTGTGGCAGGCCCCCCAAAAGAGAAAATAGCAAAAGCAACCAATGAAAGTAGTTACTTCTTAAGCAGGTTCATTTTGGTGCCAGGTATAAAATAGAACTTGGCCTAATACAAAGTAACACAGAAACGCAGAGTGCTGTGTTTGCAGTCTATTGATGGTTACAAGAACAGAAGAAGCAGACAGTTCAGCAGAATACTGAGAACACCTGTGTAGATAACTATGACAAACGAGGAGAGAAGGGATCACTGAAGCTGAGCTGAAAATAATAAACTCTACTTGAACATGGTGAGTTCGACATAGCAGATATCCAAGAGACATAAGATATTCTATCAATGAGACAGGAAGAACACTGTAAAGATCAACACCAGAATTTGGCTGAATGTGGAATACCCTGTAAAGATCTTTGGTCAGAAGGATGCATAGGCTGCAAACAAACCATCCCAAAGTCTTAATACTCATGGGTTTGTCAAACACCAATGTGAGTTAGAAGTTAGCTATTGTAAGAAGAGATATATAGGACAGAAACAATACCTACTTGCAAGATGCTCACTGGGAATCAAAGAAATGGATAGTTCCATGTGATGAGAAATGCTATGGGAGAAGTGAGCATTAAACATCTAGAGAAGATTCCTAACATACGTTAGAAGCATAACCAGAGAGCCTTCTGTGAGTCCATGGTATCGAAACTGTGACCTAAGAGCTGATCAGCAATCAAAACTCCATAGGTCTAAGTGTGTGCATACACAAACGTTTACAAATAAGGACTTCCAAAAAAAAAAGGACACAATAATTCCAGAGCTGGAAAAGTGGTAAAGAAAGGCAAACAATTGAAAGCCACTCAGGATGTTTTTGCTCCCAAAGCATGATATGTGTTTAAATCTACACAGCACTGCAGATAATGTTTAGTAGTTTTTATTTTACGTTGAGCACAAACATTAATCATTTAAACATTAGGTATAGGAGAGTACTAATTTAACATATGTATGTATGTACATGTGTATGTATGTGTGTTCCAGCTGGGTAGAATGATATGGAGAACCAAGTTTGAAAAGAGAAAGAGAAGCTGATTCAGTGGTCCCAGGGGGGATAAGTTGAGGGTCTGGAGAAGAATGATACAGGTGGAGATGGATGAAGGCAGACAGATTTGAGAAATAGTTCGGAGTCCAAATCAAAGGATTTGAAGCAAACTGCTGCTCCAGTTTCTCCAGGCAGGAATATCTGAAGTAAATAGCAGTCCTACGAATTCTTTACTCTATTAAAATAATACATCACCAGGCTCATTTATCAGTAATGTAATCAAACTGGGTTTATTGCACAGATCTCATGCCTTAACAGATGAAAGATAATCAAAGTCAAGTGACTTAGAAAATAAACTGGAGAAAATTGTTCTCCTGCTTTAGAACATAGAAAATTTACAGTCTGAGATGTAACGGCACCTAAGAGAATGCAGAGGAATTGCTGTAACTGACATAATCTGTTCTTCCAAATGCCAGTATGCCTGCAATGAGGAATATACATACCTTCTGAATTATCTTATCCCACTTAATGAATCAGTGGAGTTTCTTTCTCACTCTGTTCAAGGCAGCTTCTTGGACAGTAAAGATTCTACAAACATTTACATTCCAAGTAGCAGAACTGTTTGGAGTGCTGTAAAGTTCTGCCAGCATTTCTATTACCAACCCTTATTTCTTGTTTATAACATGTACATAAAAAGAGGAAAATAAAAATGTACTACAGATTGAAACTTGGCATACTAAGCTTCAGCCGTCAAGTGCATTTCTACAAGAACAAATTTCCCAAGATATGTTCCCACTGAGTACAGAAACACGGGAGCTGGGGGTGGGGGACATTATTAACCAGAAGCCACTTAGTACCATTGCTCTTTCAAGATCTGAAACTGAGAATCAAAGAAATTCTCAGTTTCAAAGAAATTCTTAAACTACCTGACAGTCCATATTCTTACTACTTTTCAAAACTGATGTTATCCAAGGCATGATTCCCAAGCATAGGAAATCATCCATCAAGGCTAGCAACTATACTATATATGCATCTTAAGATCATGTTTTTACTCACAGTATATATTAAAGTACCTTAGGGTTGTTCGTTTTCAATGACAAAAATAAATGGTGAAGATAAAACCACTTAGGCACAGACTACTGGAGTCGACCAAAACAGAAACCACAAACAAATAACACAGAAAGTCCCCCTTTCATCTCCCCATCTCCTTCGACATACAAGTAACCTTTCACTGCTATGAACACTAAATGGTGACTGGGAAACAAGAAAATGTGGAGCCATCAGACCATCACCTTTCTGGGCTTCTGCTACGATACAGTGATATACAGATCTGGCAGTCTGAATGGGCCAATTATATCTATATACTCTTTCAGCACAAAACGTATTAGAAGTTAATGAGAACTTCAAGTTGGACACTTAAATTATGCAGTAAAAACAAAACTAGAAGATGTACAGTGAATGAATGAGCAGGAGCTGGGCATTTATAAATGGGAAAGGTGCATATTTTGCTAGCAGACTGAAGAGGCTATTAGTTTGTAATAACTAGGCATACATGAAATGTGACAGAGGAAAAAACTGAAGATAAATCAGCAGCTGAAAGGCTACAGTTTGTTGTCTGTAGCTAATCTTTGCTCTACTTGAAATTGCTTGGCACTGTGGTCCTATTAAATATTTGGCTGCTATTTTAAGAAACACTTGGGCTGTCCACTTGTGTTGTGGAGGATATTTAAAAGTTAGAATTCTTCTGGAGAAATGGACAGACTGCCTTCACATCTTCAGGCAGACAGCTGTGATACCTGGACAGTAGGGAGGACATGAACTGCATGCTGTTGTCAGAGATGGCCACTGCCTGAATCTATTAGCCTGAAAATCAATTATCTGCTCTATGTCTCCTGCCGGCCACCTTTACACAGGAGGAGCACCGGCTTACATGCAACTTCACCATTTATCTGATAAAAGTGTTTAGCTGTTTGCTAGAAGATAGTGACCCCCTTTAAACCACATATTGTTGACTCTCAATTGAGGTCAAGCAGGCATTCAGAGATCCCAACTGTACAGATTGTGTGCATACAAAGATCTTGGCGCTGCCCATGGGCTCAATCCCATCAAATATCTTTTATGCACATTTACAAGAACCTGTCCCGTGGTGACATGTAAATATTAGGCATTCTACAAATATTACACTAAATCATGTGGATCTTAACCTTAAGACTTCTTCCTTAGTAACAGGAATCGAAACACAAAGGGTTAAAACCTCCCACCAGGATGCAAACAAAGTCAGGTTAGTGTTGGTAAACACAGCTAGTGCTGCAAAACTAAGAGGTCTGACTCTTTATTGAAATATAATAGCTCTTTGAAAGGCAATTACTCCCCCTTTCAATTTCTGAAAGGCTCTGACTCAGTGTTCTTTTTAATTCCCGTTTTTAATCTATTTACAGACCAGGATTTTTTTTTTTTTCCTCTCAGCGAGTGTGATATTCATCTCTGTGGGGGTAGACAGAAACCATGGCACATATCCTCCGGTATTGTGTGTGTGCGTTTAGTTATTCTTGCTTAATCATTTTTAAATTATTTTGGGGTTGACCTACTCTCCAAATGAGCTGCGGTTTCTGGCCAACTTCCCACACCACACACATGACAGGTTGACTGTTTCTGTAGCGCCATTTCTGTACATATCGGGTTGGGGTTAGGAAACTGTCTACCCCATTTGCTTTCTGAGGGCTGTCTGCTCCCATCCCTTTCTGAATAAAGGTTTTCTGTCCTCATCAGAGCCGGCACCATTGGTTTTTGAGTCATTCCTCAGCACACACCTCCTTGTAAATCAATAAGGGAACGCAATCCTGGGAAGGACTTAGGGATTGGTGAGCTCTTGTGGAGAGGAGCTCTACACAAGGAAAGCCCATAAGCCTGGCATTTCATGCAATCGGAAGTGGGGAGCACTCCTTCTAGAAGGTGCTAAGACTCAGACCTGGGGCGCAGGGCTGGCACTTCCTGATTTTCTGCTTCTGGTAGTCTGGCGAGAGGTTTGCAGGGCTCCTGAGAACATAAAATCAGCCAGATCTCAGCCAGCTCTTAAGTCAAGGCACCAGAGCTAAATACAATCCGTCAGAATAAACCTACGAAATAATCGTTAACAAGAGATTACACTCAAGGCTGCTGATTTCTGAGTGGAAAGAAAACGCAGCCCGCAAAACTTGGGGACTAAATCCTCTATCTAGCTTGTTCAGATCTGGAAGTCGGGACCACAGCTTCAGGTAGAAAACGCATTTCGTTCTTAACCCTGGCACCAATGCCCTGGAATTCTCCCTCAGCATCCCTAGGGTTCCCAACTTTTTTCTCCCAACTTTCACTGCCCAAACTGTCTGCTCCGAAGACATACCAGAGAGACATTGGCTGCATTCCTTCCAGCGCTTCAGGCAGAGAAGGCGTCCCATCCCCAAAGCGATCCTAGACCCAGCGTGGGGAAATAATGTCCCCTGGCAAACCAGCCCCTAGAAAGATCGTTTACTCTCCACCCATCAGATGCATCTCCCAGGCTAACAAACTTTCTTGGTCGAGGACCCCTAAAGCCAGTGGGTAAAGTTTTCAAAGGCAGGAGGTTCATCCCAGTGCCACGGCTGCAGTGAGCAAGCGGACAACCCCGACACCTACCTAGCTGCACCAGTTTGCAAGGCTTGCCCGCCCCGCCGGCCGGCCCGCCGGCGCCGCCACCGCTGCTGGCTGGCCCGGGGGGCTGATGTGCGCTCTGGTGCGAGCCGCCGCCTTCGCCGCAGCGCCCCCGTCCGCACTGTTCTGCAAGGTTCCGCGCAGTTCCCCGCCGGACCGCGGCGCCCGCCCGCCCGCCCGCCCGCCGCCGGCGCCACCGCGCGCCAGGCTGCTGTGGCTGCTGCAGGCGCCGAACGAGCGCTGCCTGCGCCTGTGCCGCTCAAGCTGGGGCTCTTGCTCCCGCGCGAGCCCTGAAGGGAGGGAGGAAGGGAGGGGACACAGGGTGGGAGAAAGGGGCGGGGAATGCGGCGGCGCAGCCAACAGGGTCCTGCGCCTCACGCTGCTCGCACCACCACCCACCTCCTGAGCCTCCGTGCCCCACCGCCACTGGAGGCTGCCAGAGCCCCAGCTGCCTTCGCCCACGTGTGTCGGGCCTCAGCACCGCCCCGGTGGAGCAGGATGGGAGGCCATCAGCGAGCCACCACTGGGTGGCCTCCTGCTTCGCAGCTGGCGTCTGGGTAGCACCAGTATAAGAGCAGGGATTGCATTTCTAAGGAATCCTCCTGCCGCTGAGCTCACACACACGTGCGCAAAATTGCCAGTTTTATCATTAAAACACGTAATTATTAAGGGCTCGCTATAGATAGATAATGGATGGATGAACTGATGGGAGTAAAGGCAGGAATCACGGATAGACAGTCCAGGTAGTGGACTGAGGTATTTACAAGAGTTCAACTCTCAGACTAACCCTAACTTTATTCTTGTTCCGTGACTGTGCTATAAGGACTTACTTTAATTTTCTAAGATATCAATGGATCAGTTATGAAACTAATTCCAATTTTATTTTTTACAAGGAACCCATGAAATCAGCCTGGTCATTTTTATTTGTATAAGAGAAGTGAGACAGTTGATTAGCTTGAACTGTTTGGGAGGCACCCAGGCAGTGGGACCGGACCTGTCCTCAGTGCATGAGCTGGCTGTTTGGAACCTGGGGCTTATGCAGGGGCAGGGACACTCCTTTCAGCCTAGGAGGAGGGGACTGGACCTGCCTGGACTGAACCTATCAGGTTGAGCTGAATCCCCAGGGGAGTCTTTGCCCTGGAGGAGATGGGAATAGGGGGTGGGCTGGGGAGAAGGGGGGTGGGGGAGGGGACAAGGGAATCTGTGGCTGATATGTAAAATTAAATTAAATTATAAAATAAAATAAAATAAAAAAGAGAATTGGATTGGATGATCTGGATGTAAACATAAACTTCTTGAAATCCCAAGCCTTTGAATTCAACCCCTAGTTCAACCAAGAACCTGTGCAAATAGTACATCTTTTTTTGTCAGTGAAAACAACTGGATCGTATACCTGTCAGTCATTTGGTGAATCACTTATAAAAAAGAGTAGAGACATATAACGGTATATAATCTAGCAGCTACAGAGTGGAGTCATTCAGTAGCACTGGCATCTATAAATTCAGGAGATAATCCTAGGCTCCACATGGTGGCATGAGATAGGAACAAGAAGATCAGGACTAGTGAGTTCAATCAACAGTTCCAACGCAAACCTATACTAAAGAATAACACCCTGTCTTAAAATGGGGGCGGGGCAATACTCTGGCTTCTCACACAGACACAGACACAGACACACACACAGACACACAGACACAGACACACACACACACACACACACACACACACACACACACACACACACACACACCTTGCATGTATTCACCATGATGAGATGCCCAGGACCAAGTATATGCTGTGTAGCAATAATTCCTGTGAGTGAGATTTACCGTTTTATATTTATGTACATTGTTTTTAATTTGTATTATCAGGTTGTTTTCTATATATAAAAAAAAAAGAAAGAAAGAAAGTACTTCTCTTGGTTAAATTTGATTGGAGCATGTAAAGTCCTGATTCCTGCTCCCCACCCCCTTCTGTTCTGCTCCTGCAGAAGGAACTAAGCAGGAGTGCATCCAGGACAGCTCTCTTGGCAAATCAGACTTGAAAGAGGGCTTCCTGGGGAGTAGTTTTCATTCTTCTCCACTTTCTCCCAAGAGACAGTCACTGGCTACCTGCATTTCAGAAAGAAATTTGAACTTCTGGGGAGATTTGAGGGGCTTTAAAAGACAATAAACCCATTCTGTCACCTGTGGTGCAATGTATTGCTTCCCACTAGCTTCCTGGCCCCTTGCCAAATCAAAAACCAACTGCCACACTCTCAGACGCAGGTGAGTTCTCCTATCCCTGAAGTGCTTCAATAGTAAAGCTCTCTTACCTGTCAGCAGACAGCAGCCTCCTGCATAGACGCTCTAACTTCCCCACGTGGTGGTTACTTTTGCCATGTCTCTTACTACCAGGAAACGGTTCATCCCCACAAGAGTAATGGCTGGATTTAAAAAATAATAGTAATAAAATGTGGAGTTATTTATGTTTTAAAAGAGTGGGGGAGGTGACGATCGATAGAGACAGTACCATAAATAAAAGTTATGTGCTTTCTCCCATCAGAATTAAATTGCAGTAAATTTGCACTCCTTAGGGTCTCTCTACTTAGCAGATGACAAAAAAAATAGTGCAGGTAAGGAAGGGAGGTTTATGGTCATAGCAGTTGTTATAGGTTATTGTAAATAATCTCTTTGCTTGCAATCTGAGAACATGTTGGCAAACCCCCGGAGTGTGACAAAATGTTTTATTGGGCAGAACTGGTATGTTCTGGAAGGATCAGAGAAAAAACTTTACATGCAAATTATGCTCACGCCTTGCACCTAGCAGGTGCAATTACTGTCATACCTACATCTATCACAGACATGCCTCTTCTTTTAATGCAATTTCATAATGCAATTTGCTTCTAACACACCTATATGTCCTGTCTATTCAGAATACGAAGGGCACTTGACAGTGGGGAGGGGGCTGGCCCTAGGCACCAAAACAGCAGTGAGAAAGACAGCAGAGAAACCCCTTTAAATTAGACCAAGAGAAATCTACACTCTAACCCTGCGTGGTCCTCTCTACATATTTTGTCATTTCCCATCTCAGATTGCTTCGCCTGTGCTGGTGAAAGCTGATTAGTACTGGCAAGGCGGTTGATGGAATCTTGAATCTTAGGGTTACAGCAGAAGAAGGCAGGGGCATGCTAAAATTTGCAGGAGCCATGACAGACACTAAGCATGAACCCCAGTTTCTGGTCGCATAAGTAAAATGTGTATAAATATATGCATATAAAGATGCACTCATCATTTCAAATCCTTCCTTTGCTCAGAATGTAAAGCATAATGTGAGTCAACTGAAAACCTGATATTTACCAGAAGTTGATACACAAGAGCAGGTTTAAATAAAATTTCCATTCAATTTCTGGGCCGGAAGCCCAGGAAATTAAAAAAGAAAAAAAAGAATTAAAGGCACATGTGGATCTTCTCAGTGTGAATGCCGGATGGAGTTTTTATTGAATTTGACCTCAACTGATTGTAGCATTATAAGCAATTCTGCAGTTAAGTTTCAGCAGGCATTTAGATGGCAAATCCTCTTTTTAGGGCATTATAACTAAGAATAATAACTTCCCTTTCCTACGGTACCTTTTATATCAAAGCTCTTTAGCTGTGAGATCATCTTCCCATTGTTAAGATGTGCCATCTGTGTGGAAAGATAGAAACTATTTCATGCTACTGATAGCACATATTACTTGTTTGTTTCCTTGTTTACTGTGTAACAAAAGAAAATGAAGAAAAATATCTACAAAACCCACAGACGGGAATTCGTAGGCAAGAAGACAAACTGGAACACAGCCAGCTACTGACAAACACATCTGTTCTTTTGAAGGTGGGGTGTTTTTCCTGAGTTGCAAAGACAAGACCTAGTAAACTTGCTGTGCTACTTTCTCAATGTTATTGTTTCTGTTTGGATGCCAATTGGGGGATATTCATACTATCTGTGCTGCTGGGTTGAGTGTCTCTGAGGGCTGTGTTTGTTTGCTTGTCTTTTTATTTGAATCAGACAATAAGTTGCAATAACTTTTCAGCATCCAAGATGAAGTAAGGAAATCAGTTTGTTAAAACAACAGCAACCAAAACCTGGCCATGATGGGTTTTTTTGCCTTGAATGACTAAAGGGCCACTGGTTATCTTTATTGGAGCAAGTCCTTTGTATTTCTGGTAAAAAGAGAGGATTCTGAAAAAGATATATAAAAGTTGAGGTAACATACCCTATTCTGGCTGGAACTTAGCTGTGGATACTAATATAATAATTGAAAACTCAGACACTTGCTAATTTTGTTTACGCTGAAGATGTTTCTTGAATTTTTGTATCTTTGTTGTTCTCTTGGTGCCATCCTGTAGATCACTATGTAACAGAACTTCCTCATGTTACTGTTCATGTATCTACTATTTTATTACCAATGTCCTTTGCTAGATTGTAAGCTTCACAGAGGCAGGGAGTTTGCTCTGTTTACTGCCCCATGTAGAGTTCCAAGCAGTCTGTGGCATACACATAATGGGTTTGCAGTAAATGTTTGTTCAGTAATGGAGCAAGCTTCCAATGTATCTGGTGCTGTAAAAACTACTTATTGAGGACAGTTGACAATCCTCACAGCCATTGCAGGCAGTCACTACTCTGGTAAGCTTTCTGAAGATAAATGCTAAGATACACAACCTGAACTCTAGAAACTCACTCTTCCAAGATGGTACAAGCTGTAGTCCTTGCCTGGATGCTAGGAACTCTCATTAGTGTATACATCACCTCAAGTTTAAGGCACTTTTTATCAACCATTTAATCAAATTATTGTGGGAATCTAATGTACACAGAAATTGCAAATCTGCCTAAAACACCACTTCTGATCTAGTATGTCTAGGGTGTAGCCTGGGACTCTGCATTTCCACCAAGTTTCTGGATAATAATTCTAGTATTGCTAGCTAACTGAACTTTGTGGAGGCAGGCTACAATCCAAACACTCAGTGTTAATATACAAAGCACCTGTCATACACTAAGCCTCAGGGATTTGAGTTAATAGAAGTGAAATACACTATTTGTGATTACCTAAATCATCATAAAATTACATAATTCCATTTAACGTGATTTCTGTTATATTCAACAATGGCTATTCCAGAGTG